CCTGCCCAACTTGGCATTGTCTGTAAACTGACCACGGGTGCATTTGATCCCTTCATCCAGATCACTGATAGAGACATGAAACAGCAGTGCCCCCCACACTGAGTTCTCAGGAACACCACTGGTGACCAGCTGCCAATTGGGTTTGACTCCCTTCACCACCTCTCTGGGCCTGGCCATCCAGACAGTTTTAACCAAGCAGAGAGAGCACCTGTCCAAACCATGAGAGAGCACCTGTCCAAACCATGAGAGAGCACCTGTCCAAACCATGAGCAGCCAGTGTCTCCAGGAGGTGCTGTGGGAAATGGTGTCAAAGTCCAGGTAGAAAACATCCAAAGCACTCCCCTCCTCCACTCAGTGGGTCACCCTGTCACAGAAGGAGATCAGGTCAGTCAGATAGGACCTGCCTTTCACAACCAATGTTGGCTGGCTCTGGTTCCCTGACTGTCCTGTGCATGCCTTGTGATGGCACTCAGGAGGATCTGCTTCATGCAGTCATACCTCAGCCTTTCCCTCTTCCTTTGTCACTATGTTTCCTGTGCATGCAATAAAGGATGGGGATTCCCCCTCTGGCTGTTAATTGCTTATTGTCTTTTACAGCAGCAGCCACAGCCAGATTAAGTTCTAGCTGGGATTCAGCCCCTCTAATTTTCTCTCTGCATAACCACATGGAAAGTGCTCTGGTGAGAAGCCAGGGTCACTGGGCAAGGATGGACCTTCCCTCCTACTGTTCTGGCACACAGCAGAGTCAAAACAGACCCTGCCACTACAGGGGCAAGATCTGCAGCAGGGAGAGCCAGCACTGCCCCTTGCTCCCAGCCCAGCCCCTGAATCTCAATGCAGAAGGGTCCCTGGGCTGACCTGGGGCAGGGCTTGCTTCACTACAGGTGTTTAAATGGTGATGAGTTACTATTCCCACAGGAAAACACACAAGTGCTTGAGTGCTCAGGCTGCCCAGACAATTCAAATTCAAGTTCTTTGTCATTTGGTACCAGGCACACAAACCTGTGCAGTTCCCAGCATTCCTTCACTTCCCCAAATGCTTCATCACCCAAATTTCTACAGCCATGTATTTTAAAACCTCTGTAATTCTCTCAACAAGCTTCAGAATACAGGTCTCTTTGAAACCCTTCCTCCCTGAGTTAAATGACTTTGCACAACCATCAGCTTTCAAACACAATTGAGTCAAATAAGACCAAATCATCTACAAGCACAGGTTGCAATAAGAAGCTGTGTTGGACAGTGACTTACTTTGATGTTTCTCCCCCAAGAAGAAACCCAACCTCCACTTACTCTAGGGCAAACTCAAAAGGTTTTATTTTAATTTTTTTTTTTAGCAAATTCTATCACGTAAATGTTAACAAAAAACATCTGTACAATTGCCATGATACACTCAAAAGTGAAACAAATAAGATATAAATACAGATATGGATGTAACATGACAAAAGCGGAAAAAATAGAAAAAAAATACATGCGCATGAACACGGTGCCAACAAAGTCATTTCTCATGGCTGGCATTTTTCAGAGCGTTTTTTACTTCCCATTTAAAACATTGTTAGCAACGTCCTGCTGTGTACTACAAAGGTCTATTTTTCTGTCCCTTAATATGTAATATTATGCTTGATAAATAAAGGGGTGGGGAGAAAAGGTTCTGATGACAAAGATGCAAGTTACATTACTTATACAGGTTATTGGTAAGCTAGTAATAAGCAATTAAAAAGACAGTCTTGTATTGTAATCCAGGCAAGCACACATAGTGTACCTTAAGAAAGCCACATGCCTCGGTATTTCTGAACTACATGAGAACTACAGTACGTAGACCTGTGGGGCAGATGGAGCCGGGATTTGCCCATGCCCACGGAGCACTGGTGCAGCCAATGGCAGAAAAAACATCCACATCTGAGATTTCGGCAACTTTGCAGCCAAGAGCTGCTGTCTGCTGAGAGTTTTCTCCCATTCAGATTTTTAAAGCATGGTGGGCAAAGAAAATACACTTTTTTTTTCTTTTTTTTTTTCCTTTTTTCCTTTTTTTTAAAGGTACGAAAAATTGAAGCCCTGCATAATGGGCAGCAAGAAAAAAAAAGGCAGCTGCAGTAGGTGGCTACTGCCAGGAGAAGGTGAACACAAGCTTCACCGGAGCAGTGAGGCACTGCAGCATGCAGACCTTCCTCTGCAAGCGTGCGTGGACACTGTGATTTGTAGCCAGAGAGACCTTTATGCTTGCTGAAGAGAAAACAAGATGATTGTACAGCTTGTTGAAGTCAAAACCGGAGATCAGAGAGGTGACATTCAGAGCTAGCCCTTTGAGTACTTCAAAGGAAACACAAAATAAAAACTGGGTCATGTTCAACATACTAAAGAACCCCACTATGTACATTGTCGGCGATGATTTATAAATACCCAAGCAGAATGCTCCTACTGTGGACAGGCAGAACACACCCTAGAGTGCCTCAAGGATGGACAGTCCTCCACTCACGCAGTGAAATCAAGCAGCACATTAACGAGCATCTGCTGACAAAGAGAACTGAATCTGATTCAGGAAGTAAGGCCTGATCCCCCTGCAGCCCCAGGGAAGCACAGGCTGGCCGCAGGCGCCGGCTCAAGGACGAGCTCGGACCCCGACTGCGGAGTCAGGGCCGTACAGTGCGTTCACTCTCAGTGCATACCCACAGGGTTTTATAAAGCATATAAAATCATTTCAGAAGGAATTCGATTCCTGGAGATTTGCTACAGTGTGCCATTCAATGGAAAGGAAAAAAATCAAAACCAACCAACAGCAAATGATGATAGACCAAGCTCCATCACAGCTGGGAGGGACTAACACCACCTGGTCAGCTATGCTGACCTTCTGAACCCCAGAACTGGAACAGAAGATGCTGAGCTGAGATGGGGAGAAAGAGAAGCATAAATACTAAGCAGTTAAGAGCACAATTAAAAAAAAAAAAAAAAACAAAACAAAAAACCAACACCCCCCCCAAAAAACCTAGCCCACTACTAAAAATTCAAACAAGACAGCTTAACTGCTGCCAACAAGTCAACTGAGTATTTCCTCAAAAGGAAAAATAAATTTGTGTTAAAATCAAATTTGAAGCATTCAAAAAAAATAAAAAAGAGCATTCTAACAAGCACACAGAAAGATGTGGAAAAGAAATGGTCCACAGAAAGGCAGACACGAACCATGGAGCAGCCAATCCCCCCCCTTTAGTGAGGATGGCTTTTCTGAGCCTGCAGAAAGACCCTGGGGGAATCCCCCACCCCAGGAAAGCACATGGTTTCTCCTGCTATAGCATTACTGGTTGGGAAAGATGAGGGAATTAGCCCTGCAGCCAGCAAAAGCCTCACACATGTGTAGCAGAGCAGGTCACCTCCCCTGCTCTCAGGTGAGCAGGAAAAGGGACAAACAAGCTTTGCAGCCCAGTGACAACAGTCCCCACCAGCCCCAATCCCTCCTGAGAAGAGAACTGGGAGAAAAACTGGCACCAAGTGTCAGCTCCCAGCCTAACTCCTCAGGGATGGGGTTGAAACACAGAGGGATAATTGATGGAAGGGGCTTTACCCTCCCCTGCTGCAGTAATGGAGTCTCATGTTCTCAGTGTGCTCCCAAGGTGTCCCTTCAGCTCCCTAAAGGGGACATGGAGGAAGCTGGAGAGACGCCAGGGCACTGAGAGCAGCCAGGGAACACACATGCATCACCACAGCTGCAGCCATAAGCTGCAAGTCCATCATCCTTTTGCATCACCAAGGAAAACCCCAAAACCCCAGCTGGGATCCATGGCAGGTTTGGGGTGGGCATGCCCATCAGCCAGGATCCAGCCCAGGGCCAAACCCAGCACGTTAATTAGGAACCTCCTGCCTTCCCTGGTTACAGGCAGAGCCAGGGGGAGCTCCCCCTGTGCAGAAAGAAGGGTCTTTGTTCAGGGAAGGGCAGTGCTGTGGGGTATCTCATTGCTGCTGGTTTGCCTCTGCCCTGGTCTGTGTCATCAGGCTGCAAACTCCTCACCCAGAGCACCCTGCTGCCAGCAGTGCCCAGTGAGGGACCCCCACTCTTCTGAAATGCAGAGCACTCAGCAAGCCTGTGCATGGAGATGGCACAAAGGAGGCTTCTAAGGGCAGTTAACAGCACTGCAGGGTCTTCAGGACTGTTCCAGCTGGCTGAGGTGCTTCCATGGGGTATTTCTGTTCAGATTCAGACACCCTTTCTGTCCTCTGGGATGAACATTTTGCCCAAAGTGCAAAGGAGCTGTGGGGACAAAGCCATCCAGCATCAGTGAGTCACTCAGAGCAGCAGATCAGCCCTTTGATGCTACAGATTTCAAAGAAAACAGCTGGCACTGCAGTACAGCTGTGCCAGCTCCCACTGCCCACCCACTGACACACTCAGAGCCTAACCCAACCCCACCCACCCAACTCCACTATCCTATCTGCACACACCACTCCCAGAACTGGGTCTCAGGTTCCCTTTGGGGAGTAACAGGTAACCTGGAGAGTCTTTTGAACATATGAAAGAGCCAAATGGGTTGAGAGGGGAGAAGTATTTACAAAGTCAATGAAAAGAACAAGAGCCCAGCTGTTATGCACAGCACAGCTGGCTGGATAGCAGTTACAGAGAGATCAGCCCATCCGGGGTCTGTCAGAACTATGTACAAAACTCAGATGTTTAAAAAGAACCTACTTTCATTACTCACTTGGTATCTCTCAGTATTAAAGCATCTGAGGCTGGAATCACAGCCATACCTGCAAAGATCTCCCCATGGAGGGCCCTGCAAGTCAGGCAAGCTGCAACAGGGAGTACAGAACAGGAACACAAGACTTGAAAGAAGAGAAGGACCCAGCCAGAATGGGTGAGGGGAGAGAGCAGGTAATTAACACAGAGAAACCAAAACTGGGTATGAACTCTACCAACAAGATTTGTTTGACTTTTACATGTGCCCAGGTTCTCGGACTCAGTGTTAGAATGCTAACCTAAACATATTTCTGAGATTTCAGCAGGCTATACAAATATGTTTAAGTATGGCTTTCTGATGTTCACTTTTAATGAAGACTGTGACACAGACCTTGCTTCCTTTACATTCAATACCAGTAAGATTCTACATAAAAGCTTTGAAGGGACTAAAATACTGATTGCAATAAATATCTGCGTGGCCTCCTTAAGCTGATGGAGCGCGCCAGTGAAGAGTAGCAGAAAGGTCTCTGAGAGGCACCGTTGATTGCTTCTAAGTCTACACATATGTCCACAGATCTCCATTAACTGTGCGTTGAAACATCTGAAGAGGAGCTGCTGTTGCTGTTGGTGGTCTGTGCCCTCTTTATATACAAGTTTAGTAGCTTCATCTGAAAGAAAGAAAGAAACATCAGGAGAAGACGCCAGAAAAAAACAGGGGAAAAAGCTGACTGCCAATGTAAAAACTTGCATTCCATAGTGAGCTCATTTTGGGGTGAGCTGACACTGGGCACTCTGGAGGAAAAGCAAGAAATCTGACCATATTTCAGAACAGAGACAAGAGGCTATGCCCAGTCCCACTGAAGTTACAGACAGACTTAATGGGATTTAGAAAAGCCTCCTGCATTTCACTTCAGCAGCCATCAGTTCACAGACCTCAATCCTGCAGCCAGGCCAGGTCAAACAGGATTCCCACAGAGGTCAGTAGGGCTGCAGGCACACTGGCAATCCAAGAGCCAAGGGTCTCCCTCCTAGGAAACACCCTGAACTTTCCCTGTTGTATAAAATGTTCTTTTTCAATGACATTATATCTTCACTAATGTGGTACATCTAGTGCAATTGCAGTTGTTATGACTAGATACTTCCCTTGCATGGAGTTGTTTTCTTTTTCCTCCTTGCCACCTAAACTCTAGATCCTGTAATGACTCATGTTAACATTTAACTTTAAACAGGCAGGCAGTCTGCATAAACCCAGAAGAATTACTTACATGTTTATAGTTAGTGATGTGGTGGAGTATGTTTGTGGCACCTAGGATACTGGAATAATAAAGCCTCTACAACATTTTACATGGGGATTTCCTAACATCCCAAATATAAACTTCAGCACACATAGCTGTCTCCTTGCAGAGCAATTTGAAGGCACAATTGTAATTTTTTTTAGTGACAAGACAGAAATAAAATCCAAGTGTTTATAGTCTCAGATTGTTTTGGCCTATACCACACTTCCTTACCCATGAAAGAAATTATGACTTCAAAATGACAGAATGCAGTCCTCTGAAGTAAGTAGCTATTTATGTGCACATATTTGTTTCAGAAACAAAACCTGCAGAATTCATCTTAAAATTGTGTAGAAATCTTGGGTATGAAGACTTAAAACAGCAGAAAAAAAAATTTGTGGTGGCTAGTTGAGAGCTCTGAAATGCAATCAAACACCAACACAAAATTCTTGTCCAAAGGACACAGTTGAATTAAGGCCTTCGTTTCACTTGCAGCATCAGGTCAGAATTTGAGTTTTGCAGCTAGTCTTACTCCAGGGTACAAAGTCCTTTGAAGGGTCATTTGAGCTTGCTGTTGCCCCAGAATGGAAGGGACACACGTGCCCTGCTGTTAAGAGTGAAGCTTTACTTGCATTTCTACCAGCCCTAATCACAACTTGCTGCTGAGAGGACCTGCTCTCCCACCATCCCCATGCACTCCCACCACTCTCTCCATGAGGATGCCTGTGTGGCCACAGAGCAGACTAAAAGCTACTTAATTTGTATTGCAGATCTGGTTTTCAGCCAGAGCAGCCAGCTGAGCCAGCTCACTCCACAATCACCTCTGGATGTAATGCCAAAGGAGGAAGACAAACGTGGCTGGAGAAGGACCTGCTCAGAGACAGCCTGCAGTTACACAAGAGCAAATGTATCACAAAACCAATCTCCAAACACCATTAAGATTTTCTAAGTGGGATTTCAAATCCTCACAGTGCTGAGCAGGTGCAGTGCTGCTCCTGTGGCATTTGTCAGGGTGAGAGAGGATTTAATAGAGTTCAGGGAACCCGACCCAGAGCTCCAGTGAAGCCACTGGTCTTGCTGCTAGTAATAGCCAGCAGAATGGCTTGCAGTACCAAAACACCAGAGACACATTACTCCTGTACCTTGCTTCCTGTGAGTTGTGCGAGATGAGGTTTCAGTTCTTCTCCAATTACTGAATAAATAGCCACAAGGCAAAATACACTGGCTTTTCTGACACTGCTCTCCGTGTTATCATAACCCTGGAAATGAGAGGAAAAGGTCAGAAGACAAACAGCACTCCCCAACACCCTTCCTGAGCAATACACTACAGAACTGATGTACATTTTGCAAATGTGGCTGACCTAAGAGATCAATTAAAAAAACCTCTGCTTAACATAACAGTCTGCAATCTGAATACTCAAAGAGCAAGAGAATGCAATCACCCTATCTCTTCCTTCTGTTATTACTTATTACTGTCATGTTATAAGTTATTAATATCTAGTTATTTATAGCATTAGATAACAACACATGGTTTCCTAACACAAGCTCAGGACTCCATCAGATACACACATTTCTGTGTCCAGTTCAGATAACCTAGATGAACTATCCTGAACAGTCAGGACTCTGGAGGGCTGCTTACCTATCAAGGAGGAAATACCACAGGAAAGAACATGCACAAAGACCCCTGTGCATGTGCTGATCTCTGGCAGCTTGGGCAGAGCTCAAACTAGCCAGCAGCTCACACTCAGCAGCTATGGACAGCAGTGCCAAGCTCAGGCAGCATCACTCAGCAGCCATCCCACCCCTGAGAAAGGCAGACATCACTCCAGCCTGTGGGATGCCAGCTCCTCTGGATGCAGGGTGACCTCTGCCAGAAAAGCCAGAGGAGGGATGCAGCACAGCTGGGGCTGTCCCAGCTGCAGGGCCCAAGTACAGCCCAAAACAACAGTCTGCAATCCCACAGAGCACTGAGCTAGGAAAGCAGGAGACCTTGGTGAGCTCGGAGAAACACCAAGCTATAGAGCATCAAGGTGGAGAAAAGGCTGAGCCTCCTCATCAGGACCAGGACAAGCACCACAGCTCTGCCCTGCCAAGCCCTGCTCTTCCATGGGGTCCCCCTCTGTCCATGGAGAGCCTGCTCCAGGCTGTTGAGCTGCACACTTGTGCCCACACTGCTGCTGACACTCCTTGCCTCCCCAGCACTCTGCCAGGACCCTCAGCTTGGAAGCAAGCACAAAGGTGACTCTCTCCACACACAGTCCTTCAGCCAGCATCCCAAAATACTTCCCAAATGTAAGGAGTAAATTCCTTTGATCACTGAGTTTCTAAGGTAAGGAAATATCTCAAACTCTGCTCTGAAACAAGAACCATTTAAAGTAATTAAAGAACCAATAAAACTGTCTTTTTAAAGGCATGCTGCTCTCAGATTTTTCCAGTGCATCAAAGCTTTACTGTTCGGATTGTTGTCTCCAACAATGATGGCTAAAACCATTTTACAACAAAAGTTTAGATGAATACAGAATTGTCCAATTCCCAGAAGCTGAGATTTAAGAATTGCAAGAGCTGACACTACAAAGTTGGGAAGAATGCCAGGATGCATAAGGGGAATCTCAGACTTTGCTCTTGTCCTTCCAACATTTTAAGCTCACAATAAGGAGTCCTCTTTATCCCAGTTCTCCATGGAATTCTTACCCACCTAAACCCATCTCCCCCTTTCACCCTGCCTGATCTGTTCCTGTCACAGTCTCTCCCCAGTAAACACACATATTTTCTCTCCTCCCTCACTGCTACTTCATGTATTTTCTTCTTGTTTGCAGCCCCATCCCAGCACTGCCAACTGCTTGTGCAGGGGACCAAAAGACAACACTGCTACAGCCAGTGCTCAAAGCTAAATCCACAGTGTACAACTAAGCCTTAGCACTGGCAAAAACACAGCTCCCCACCCAGCCTGAGAGAATTATGAAAGAGGCTGAAAAAAGTCAGCCAGTAGCTTGGTCCTAATTTCAGAGAGAAAAGAGGAAAGGAGCAACCTGCCTGCTGGCATTCAAATTCAAGTGAAAAGCACCATCAAAGCACAGAACAGCTCAGCAGAACTAAAGGGGAATTAAAGGGGACTACAAGATGTACAGAGACAGTGTAAAATGTGGCTAACTTCTATCCTCAAATTTATTACATGGCTGCTACTGGCTTATTTGGGAGTCAGGAAAAGGCATCCAATTGTGGAATATCCACGTAAGAACCTGAGTTTTCCTTTCCTTAGCATTAAAAGGATGAAAAACTCATATGTAAAAATTTTATTTTACCAAAAATAAAGGGCTTAATTTACCAAAATCTGGCCCCATAGGATCCATCATTCTCCCTCCCTTGAGGCAGAGATGTCACAAATTAATGGTGGCTTGTGCTCAGGAGCAGTGACATGGGATTCTGTACCTGTAACAACCCAGGAATGATATCAGGTAGGAGCTGGTGCAAGGATTCCTTGGAAATCCTCTCGATGACTTTTGTTTGCATTTTGATGGCAGCTAAGTTAATTGGATAGTCTGCAGTCTGAATGATGGGGCAGAGCACCTTGATGCACTGCTCGGGGTGGATGGAGCTCGCCAGGGTGGAAGCAGCTTCTTCAGCAGCTCTGACGACCTGAAATGAAAGTAGAGCAAACCCTTATGTTAATGAGGTCACCCTTGACAGCCAACACTGCTGCTGTGTGCTAGGAATGACTGCCAGGAAATGCTTGGGGATGTTCATTAACAGATCTGCAGGAGGCTTTGTTGGGGGGCAAGTGACTCTGAGATCTTCACATCCTCTGTCTCCAGTGATATCTTTGTTCCAGCCAGTGGCAAGAAGTCCTTCCTGCCTGATGTAACTGTGTCAGAGTTGTGGCTAGGTTGAAAAAATGATCTGTCACCCGAGGCAGAAAGGCACTCCCAATCCCAGGAGGAGAGAGAGGATGACATCTCTCCAGCCACTGCCAAAGAACCCAAACCCACCAGCTTAGACTTACACAAAAGGTTTCTCCTTAACCATTATCACAAATGGCTCTGTTGCAGCTTCCAGTGTGCACTCAGTGCTGAGTGGCACATGCCAGGCTGAGGCACCCCTGGCAGCTGTGTCCTGCCCCTCCCCAGCTGAACCACACTGCAGCCAAATCCAGGTCACAGACACAAACGGGCTTTAGGGAGTCCCTGACTCAGCCCAGGTAACCCATCCAGGCAGCACTGGGATCACCATACAAAATGGGAGGAAGAACAAAGGGAAATAGCAGCACCCACCCTTTGCAACCAGCCCACACTGTAAAGGAGTCACACAAAGCAAGGATGATGCTAAATTCAACTCTATCCTGAGAGAAAGCAGATTCACAACTTTCACTCTTCCCCAGCAGGTAGGACAGCTAGTTCAAAGAAGAAAGACCCAAATCTGGTCTCTCCTCCCAAGAGAATTTATTAATTTTACATTCTGCAGTAATTGGATAAAAAAGAACAGGATGGGAAGGCAGGTTTTCTTTTTTCAAATGTCTGTGCTAATTGCCAGGCAACAAAATGAAGCTTCCTCTTGGCTGCCCTCTTCCTGGCCACAAATAACACACTCTTTGCTCCTCATGTTCTTGTTACAACACAAAAGATGGAGGATGCTATTTTCCATCTTCTCTCACTCCCCTCTTCTCAGGGCTTACTTTAAAGGGAGGGTAAATCCTGAGCAGACAGATGCCCCCATGGGCAGACTTAAATCCAACACCTCAACTTTAAGAAGAAAGAAGCATTCACAAATCCTCATGTTTGGGATCTTCCAGCTAGTCCCAGGCAGTCCCTAACTAAGCCCAGGAACGTTATAGCATCCCTCTTTCCTGGTTGTGTGGGAGGCTCAGGTGCCCAGCACCAGTTCTCTACCTCCTCCTAAACTGAACTACCTGGGGCTGTCTGAAGTAAATACTTTGAAACCAGCACCAGGAAATCTGTCCCAGGCAATCTGCAAAAGAGCAAATCAATCAAACCACAGGTCTCCTGGCACTTAGACTGAAGCCATGGCTGCTGAATTCGTGTTGTTCTCCTCTCCCACACATCAAACTCAGGGACTGCTATTTGAGTAAGGCAACCTATGGACAGATGCAGCTCTATCAAAGCCTCAAAAGAAAGCGAGCTTTCATTATTTTTAAGCAGCTACTGTGGATAATGCATGAACAAGGAGTAGCTGGAAGCTTATCTTAGTCTATGGACTACAAAACACAAGGTTTAATTGACTTTTAAGAGAACAGCCATTAATAGTGACCAGAAGGGATCATCTCCACCTACAGAGCCAGCTTCACCCACAGTCACAGCATCATAGCCATGCTGCTAACATTAATCTTCCACTCATGCTGAGAGCTATCTCCCTGAAATGAATGGCACAAGACACTTGTATTCCCAGGAAACAGCAGAACTCCTCTTGGCTTTTGGCATTCTCTAAGGTAGATCCAACAGTGAATGTGACCTCAGACACTTCAGACAGCACAAATGTTGCATGCAGGCAAGATATGGGCAGGATGGTGAAGTAACCTGAGATTATGAACTTCTTCTGTACCAGTGCCCTATTTACAGAAATAAAGTTGTCCAAGTGCTCCATTTACTTTGAGCCTTTCTCAACATTTAATTATAACATTAAAACATATTCCAAAATGAATGGCACTCCACAATGTGGTCAATATTAAAAAAAAAAAATTCTTCCTGAAAGATCTGTGAATGAGCAGCTATCCAGAACAGAATTAACAGAATGCTTGCTTTCCCACTTACAGCAATTTTCCCTCTTCCAGCTATGTCTTTGCTAATTTCTCTTCAATTTCACACATGAGAAGCATGAAAGTTAATATTTTTCCACATAAGTTAGTACTAGCTTAGGAGCCAGCACTGTGTGATTTTGTGGGGAAAGAAGAGAAACATCCAAGTACTTAAGGGAAATCTAATGCCAGGCTTTGATAGCACAGAGTGGAATTGCTGGAGTAGATCAAGCCAGGAGCTCCCAGAAGGTCTCTAAAGGAATCCACTTCCAGGCACAGCAGCTTCTGAAGTCTGCTTTCCACAAATGATGGAAAGCATGAACTTAGAGGGCCCTGATACTTTACCATCAATTTAACTACTCACTAGCAAGCCACTAGCTAAAAAACCCCAAATATTACTATTTGAACACAGGGATTTTTTTCTGCAGCAATGTCAAACACAGTTGGAAGGATGTTTTCAGACACTCTCAGAAAGAAAAGCTTACACATATATCACAACACACTAAAAGAAAATTGTAAAAAAAAAAATTAAACCTTATATTCTCTTGGTATCCTACTTGATAAAAAAGCAACAATATCTTAGTATAAACCTATGGCTAGACTCTGATCTCAAACATACTACCATTAAAAAAAGCAGTAGGTGAAAAATTTAATGAATATTCTATCTGGGTTTCAGCTCCATATCCTGTTTGCACACAGTATACTATGTCTATTAAGTTGAAGGTATGAAGCAAGTCCATGAGACAAAAAGCCTATTAACTAATCCCAAGCACAAGGAGCATTAAAATACAGTGATAATTTTTCACAAAATAAGTGAGAGTTCAACTGCAACAAAGGTCACACATATTTTGCCCATCAAAAGAAGAGTAAGGAAAGTTGTGAAGGTACAGAAATTATTATGGCCCTGACAGTCCTGCTTTCAGCACTGCTGCCCAGTTCTAGCATGGATGTGGCTACATTTAGGCAGGGGCTGGCTATTTCACATCCCTTTCCCCCACAGGAGAATGCATTACACATATCCAGCATGACAGGAGCTTGTAAATGTGACAACACCAGGGAGACTTCCAAGCCTCCCATAAGCACATCTGGCAGACAATGCCTGCATCTCAGCCACACTTCAGCAAACTCCCTGAGCTGTGATTAACTTTAATAACATGCTCAGGTCTCACTGACATCAACAGGATTCCAGCATGTGCTAACATGCTTGTTTGGATGAGAGCCTCTGCAGGTAACCCAGCCCCTGGCTCCCTAAGGAAGCACCAGCAGGTGACAGGGTGTAGGAAGGGGTAGGGCAATACCAGCTGACAGTGAGCCAAAGAGAAAAACTCATCCCTGCTGGCACAGGAAGCCAAATGCCACCATTTTGCAACACAAGTACTAGCCCTGTCCTTTCCTCCTGGCTTTGGCAAAACAAAACACTCAGCCACCCAGAGAGACTCTGCATCCCATGAGGGGCTCTCAGTATTCACCCAACTGGCTCAGAGTTCTGCTCACCTGGCACTGCCAGAGAAATCAGCAGCATTCCCAAACAGAGGGAAGAGCATTATCAGAAGGTACAACCTGCCAGGTCATTTGGCAACAAGAACATGCAATTGTAACAGAGTTTAGCAAAGACATTTTGCCATGAGGCACACCGCTTGTGCCTTGCAAATTGTACATACCTTACAGTATCAAAAAATCAAGTGTCATTTTTAATCAGGGCTTTAACCTGACCAGCAGAGTGAAATAACCATAAAAGGAGTGGGAGAAATGAATAAACAGGATCAAGGAACAGGTCTTCCTCCCAGCTTTGAAGGCAAGATCAACAGATACACATTGGGAAGTGACAGGAAAGGCTCGTACTAACAGTGACACCACAATAAGCAGTGTCTATGTAATCTACCCTTTAAGCCCAAGAAAATGAAAGGGTGCTGTTTGCTACGTGCTCAGACTGGGGAGCTTGCTGTCACAAGAGGATTAGAAGTTAGACAAGTTAACCAAAGGGGGAAAAAAAGCCAACCAAACACAGGGAAGCAAGGCAGAACCATTCACACGGAAAGGCTTTAAGACAGCTGGAAGGGGGAAGAATATCCACAGGAAGCTTGTATGCTTGCTTCTTGCTAGTGGGTCAGGTAGGGTATCAAGTGAAGCAAGATTTTTGTCTGACCTAATATAATTATTCTTTGGTATCTCAGAGATACAAAATAAAAGTAGAAAAGCCATCAAATGATGACAGCAGCTGGGAGCAGCAGGTTCAAAAGGGTGGCTGTGAAGCAAGATGTGCAAGACTAGAGAGAGCCTGCAGTTCTTTAAAAGCAAAGACACTAAGCTGGATGTAAGGTATGTCACAAACATGATTTTACCTCCCAGTAAAAGCTTAGAGCAAACCATGGCTTGAACTGGATAGTTTGACATCGTTCAACACAGGGCAGGTAGCCCTGGAATGCAGATCTAAGAGATAGCTCTTGGCCTTAAAGCAGCAGGTTTTTCTCCTTTCTAAAGGCTTACCTTATGCTCTACACACTGGAGACTAGATTCAGCCTGACTTTTGCTGGCATAACGTAAGCTCTGTGTGCTGGAGGGCTCCTTGAAAGACATCTGTGATGCATTAAGACCTTTCTAGTGAGTGTCACAAAAGAGAAGTTTTTATACTTCCACCCAGCTTGCTTTAGGGAAGGAGCCATATTCACATGCACAAAGCCAGCGAGGTGTAGCACACAGAAAGCTGTTCATCTCCAGCAATGTCTTCCTTAATGCTACCAAGGAGTAAACTTCTTGTTAGGCAGTAACAGGTCAGGCAGTCCCAGGAATATGCACGGGAATTGCTTCCTAATTTCAGTGTGAGGGGATATGCTGACGTGCAGCATTAGTGTGATCAAGACAGTGAACTGTCACAGGGCCTTGTCTTCAA